AATAATTTATTAAGAATAAATCACCAATTTTTTGTTAATTTAATTTAAAATATTAGATAAATATATTTTGAGTGTAGAAATAAAATTATTTAACTATCTTAACTATTATTTGAGAAGCATGTTTAATGAAAAAATCTGATGTGTTATCACCTTAGTAAAAGTTAGTGTAAATTAATTTTGACATGGAATTGTGACATGAAATTTTTTCTAAAATAAACAAAATATTTTGATTGATTGAATTATAATTAAATAAATTATAAAATTATAACATAAATACACCAGATTATAACACTAAAATAATAAATTTAAATAAACAGAAAATAATTATTATTATGATTTCAATTGTTTCTTACATATATTCATAATAGATTGCATAAAATATGATTACAAATTTTTTACAACTAATCTATATTTTATATTTTAAATAGAAAAAATAATAATAAATTATCTAATAAGATAGTATATACGCTATATATTAATAATGTTGGGAGTATGATATATTATTATTATTTTTGGAATTGGCGTAGCTTACATTACCATTTCATTTTATCTCTTATTCTTTTTTAAATAAATTAAAAGTTTATATCATACTCATATACAGTCTCATTGTAGATCGAGAATTTGTGATCAGAAATAAAAACGCAATGAAACTGGATGAAAAAAATAAATTACAAATAAGAAAAAATAAATATGAATAAGAAGTAGAAGTAAAAAAGAAATATCTCTACAGTTTTGTTTTTACATAACACTTTCAATCTTTATTTTATAGAGTCATTTAAAACTCTTAAGAAATAAATTTTATAATAAACACATGCGTGGTTCAAATTTTATAACTTAGAATATAGTCCAATTTTAATTTTAGTTATTAGTAAATTTGTATTTCTTAAAAAAATCTATATATGTCATAAGAGCGATAATGTGGTTGGTATGCACGAATGCATGGACCAACCATCTATCCGCTCTCAGGATTAGTAGTGATGGTAAAACCCATTTTGGTTTACTTAGCAATAGGTCAAAGAAACATATATACTTAAAATATATATATTGACAAGATTATATTATGCAAAGAGTAAAAAAATATAATATAGATAATATTCAAAACATATTATAAGAATTTAATTATTATTTAATATAATTTTTACATTTGCAATTATATGTTATTCTAAACGCTAGAAAAAACAAAAAGTTTTCAAAAGACACAAAACGATATGAAATATTTGTATAATTGTTGTTAAACACTAAAATTATATATGTATAAAAACGTAACGCTTATATAATAAGTTTTCTAAAGACACAAAATGATATAAAATATTTGTGTGATTGTTGTTAAACGCTAAAACTGTATATGTGTAAAAATATAACACTTACATATGTATAAGAAATTAATCAATACTTAAATATTACAACTAATTATATCTATAAATAATTATACTTGCACATGCGTGTGAGACAACCATTAAAATTAAATAAATTATTATATATTACTAATGTTTTCAGTTTATTTAGTTATCATATTTATACTTTTTTATCTAATAAAATTATTTAAAAATCTGGGTTAATATTTTTTTTATCTTCAATTTCTATTGAAATCTATAATATTTTTCATTTTATTTAATGTTATTTTTAATTATTAATTATTTATATAATATTATTATTAATACATAATTAATCATATAAAAATAAAATATATTTAATATATAATATTAATCATATATTTAGCATATAAATATTTTATAGCATGCACACGGTGCGGACCGATCACTATATATACAAATAATAAATAATTATATTTATTTTCAAATTAAAATCTTACCTTATTTAATCATTAGAATAACATAATTTATATAATAATTCATTTTATACCACATAATTTGAATATTTATAAAATTCATTTTCAGATTTATATATCTGCACGGACGCGCAGGTCCAAAATCTAGTGTAAAATTAAAATAGTATTGGACTCCAATTCCTATATAACAAACCATATTGGGACACATCAGCAAAATATTAAATCAACTAAAATATTTTATTGATATACTTCATCTCAATTCATCTAAATATTTGACACATAGAAAAAGAAATGTCTATGTGTCAAATATTGAGATGAAGTGTATCAATAAAATGTTTTAGTTGGGTTAATATTTTGTTAATGTGTCAATTTCTAATAATACAAAAAATTAAGTTGTCGATATATGAAAAGGCACTTATGTTATTATAGTGTTGATTTTGCATTTAGGTTGATTTTTTTATTAATTTAAAATTCACTTCTATTGTTTATATAATTAATTTTAGCATTCATATTTGTTTTTACCACTAAGAATTTATTTATTTTCATCTTAAAAGTCTGTATTGTAAGTAAAAATATCAAGATTTGTTTAATTTTCAACCTTTATAAAATATATAATTTTGATTTTATGTTTCACATGAATTACCATTACAATGAAACATAGTCATTTTGATCATTTTGTTATGAATAAAAACTTTATAACAGAAGGCTCTTTAACAAAAAAAAAAGATACATTGAAAATGAATCCTTTGTTCGAGATTCTGATCATTAAATTTGTAAATAAATATATCATAGAGTAATATAGTATTTGATTACTCTAGAATGTAAAGTTAAAATATAGATTAAAATGTTAGTAAGTAGTATGCTATATGTAACAATTATAAAATCTAAATATTACTAAAATCTTATGTTTGGTATATTTAGGTGCAAAAACAATAATATTCTATATATAATCTACTAATCTGGAAAAAAATAATATTCTATATATAATCTACTTGAGAAGAATTAAAGCAAAATTTTAGAAAACAATAGGAAACATTTGATGTTACACAATTGTTCATAATGTCTTGTCTCCCTCTCTCTCTCATTATATTCTCTAAAAATACTAGAAATAGTAAACCGATAAAATATATCAATTTTTTTTTTATTTTAAAAAGAAATCTAATGTTATTTAATATAATATTAAGGTAGATATATTTTTCTAATTTAGGTTTGTTTTCCAGATTTATAATATTTAAAATCCTTGTATATATAAAGTAAATTTTGTATAATTTAGATTTTCTAATCTAAATCTTTCTCCGAAAGGTAAGATATATGAATGAGGAGACGCATATATATATATATATATATATATATATACACTCAAACGTTAATATATATTATCTACCAAAACAAACAACCATACAAGAATTATAAATGCTCAGGAACAACTTTGTGATTTTGGAGACAAAAACAAATACTATAAACTATATTAAACGAGTGAAGACATGCAAGGAGTGTGTGCGACGATCGTGTTAGCTTTGATAATGATACTATCAATATCTATACAAACGAACGGTAATGAGAAAAGAAATGATCTTGCACCTGTTCCCTCAACGGCATTAGCATTAGCACCTCAATCAGAGGATGGATTATTGCCTAATCCTTTATCTTGTATTGCTGACGTGAAAACAATTCCGAATTGCGTAAAAGCAATAAAACATTTCAAACTTAAAGAGGTCACGAAGAAGTGTTGCACCGTCCTACTTAGTCTTCCGGAAGATTGTTTTGGGATATTGTTCCATATTCCTTTCCTCTTTCGTTCTCTCGTTAAGATTACATGCAAAATACTTCGTCACACTTAATTGATAAACTTGTTTGTAATATTTGCTTTTTAATCAGTGTCAGCAATATGTACAAGTAATTTTTATAATAAGAGTTTTAATTGAAAAATTTGGTTATACAAAATATATATATATATATAATAAGAGATATATAATTCGTAGTTTTGATTCCTTCGAAGATATATTTTATTGTTCACAAATTTGTTTTGATCTAACTATTATGCCTCTACACAATATATATAGCGCAAAACATAAACATTTTGAGAATGTTATTCAATTATGGATTTAAAGTTAATTCTTTGTGAAAGCTCCTTAGTCCAGTGGTCGATTAAATGTTTATTAATGTTTTTACATCAGGAGATGTGAGTTTTGATTCTCAGAAACTATAATTTATGCAGGTTAATGGAGACAAACAAATAAGAGCATCTCCAACAGGTAGATATTTTTAAGGTATCTAAAAAAATATATATTAATTTCTGTCTTCCACTTCTTTTTCTCTTTCTCTCTCTTTTTTTTCTTCTAATTTTTCTCTTTTTAATATTGTGAGATACTTAATTTGAAAATCCACCGATGTGGGTGCTCTAAGAAACATATGGATAATTAGAGTTATTCATGGTGGGTCTGCATATCTATGGTGAATCTTTATAGAATAATTAATTTTTCCATTAAAATAAATACTATTTTTGGAATTTTTTTTCATAATTTGCATTCAAACGATTAAAAAGTAAATTTTTATTATATTATTCATTGCTATTCAATGATTGATTTTAAATTATTTCTTAAAAACTACTATTATTGGTTATTGTTTTAAAATATCTTCATTAAAATGTTTTGAAATCTAGTGTTATTGGTTCTTATAATCACAATTTTTTATGAAATGAGTTTTAAATCCATTATTATCCAATCAAAGATTTTAATATACAATTAATTTCTTGTATTTATTGGTTCTTGAAAGATTTTTAAAATTTCTTTGATGTGAAAGAATTTGAATGACTTTGATTCCAATTCTACATATAAATTGTTATAATCAAATTCTAACCATTTTCTTCAAATTTTTGTTCAAACTATAAAATCCAACTCATATCACATTTTTGTTTTCATCCCATATTTCTCATATATTTATATATTTCTTATCACAAGAAAAATAAAATCCTACAATAATGTTACTGTAAAATCAACTACCAAATCAAATGACATCATGTTGAGTTGATAACTCCCTTTCTATTGATTTCAATCTATTGCTAAATTAACTCTATTATAAAATCAAATGACATTATAGATCATTTTAAATGAACCATTAAATTTAAAATCTAATTTTAAATTAAAGGAAGTTGATTTAAACATTTTTTAATTAAACCCTTACATTCATAATCAAAAATTACACAACATCGTTACTCCATAACTGGAGGAGCCATTTGCAAAGATAACAACACCAATTTAGCTACAGAATCGGCCAGAGTATTATTACAACAGGGAAAAAAAGAAAAACAGATAGCAGTGAAGGATCGACTCAACACACTGGTGTCATAGAGGACACCTTGCAGCTTAATGGAGGTGCCATTGTCCGTGAGATAGGAGACCAGGTTCTTTGAGTATGGATAAACGTCCAGCTCTGTAATACCTGACATAAATGCGTCTGAAAGAGCAGCTTTTACCGCGAGAGACTCTGCAATTAGTGCAGAAGCTAAAAAACAACAGTATAAAGACTTGTGGCATACCAAGGAGTCTGAAACATCCTTTATGACCCATCCGAGTCCTGAATTTTCCGAATCCTTATCGCAAGCAGCATCCACATAACAACGGAGGGGAGAGGGAGGAATTACATGAGGAAGGTTTAGAGGAGGGCCTACCTCAAACTTGGAGACACCGTCTTGTGCTACAAACCATTCCCTTGCATCCTTTAGAGCTTTGAAGACCACTTCTTGCTTGGTGAAAAGCTTGTTTTGAAAAAGGAGCTAGTTTCGACTTGTCCAGAGATTCCATAGGACCCAGGGGAACAGAGACGTAGAGGAAACACATGTAGGGGGAAGGGCAGTCACACGCCGAAGCTCTTGAAAAAACAGAGACAGGATTGTGGAAATAGAGGTCGACGGTTTGGATATAGCCAAGACAAGAGCCCAAACACGAGTTGCAAAAGGGTAGAAGAATGTGAAGTTCATTCTCCGGTGCTCCGCATCTCTTACATGAACACTCGACCCCTATTCCTTACCTCGTCAGGTTTTCCTCCACCGGTAATGCTCTATTCTTCAGTTTCCAGAGGAAATCTTTGGAGAAGTGTGAATTCTTCATATACATTGGTTCCAATTAAATTTTTCTTTTCTATGGGGGAGCGACTACAGCTTGGAGAGTGCATATCCGGTCTTGGTGGTGTATTCCCCAGATTTCTCTGGGAGCTATGCTAACTCATCCTTCATATCAAAAGCACTCGGGATAAGCCTCCAGATTTGATCCCCATACTGAGGTAAGTGTAGTCTTATAGGCGGAATATTCCACTAATCAGAAAGAGGTAGGAGCTGATCCTTAACCCGTAGAGATTGATTGAGAAACGTAGGTGGACCGATAGGGGAGGTCGGGGTAGAAGTTAATATCAGTTCAAAACCTAAACTTTGATCTACGAACCATCTCCAATGATCCAACCAACTTTTTTCTTGAGGATATCCCTGCCAGCGCGAATCCCACTCCATCCATGGAAGGCTGAAGAGGGGGCACGACACTCCATAAAGGAGGAACAATGACGATATTTTCCCAAGAGAATTGAGCCAGCAGCAAGCTCGGAAGCATTGTCTTGAAGGATCTAGGTATGAAAGAGCTGATGCAGTGTTCCAGAAATCCAAGCTTGCTTCTGGCCGATTTAGTGACGTTGATGCAGTGTTCCGGGCATCTAAACTCACTGCTGGCCAACTCAATGACATTGATGCATTGTCCTGAAGCTCTTTCATACCGAGACAGGATAGAGGCAAAGGTTGTGCAGCTAGCTTCACTACTCTAACAAAAAAAGACATTATATCATCAGCAAACAAAAGATGATTGATCGGGGGACTTCCTCGAGCCATTTTTATCCCTAGAAGGCTTCCTGAAGCTTGCACTCTATTGCAAAGACCAGACAACGCTTCTGTATAAAGAATGAAGAGATATGAAGAAAGGGGGTCTCTTTTTCTGAGTCCACAAGATGTTTGAATCCTCTCATGAGGCGTGCTATTAATCAAGAAGGAGTAAGATACCGAGCTTACACACTCCATTATCCAACTGATCCCACATACTGTGGAAACCAAGCCGCTCTAATACTGCTTGGAGAAAACTCCACTTAATCATATCATAAGCCTTACTCATATCAGTTTTGACCGCTATTGAGCATCACTTTCTTGCACTCGAGGTTTAAAGATAATGTAGGATCTCATGTGTGATGAGCACATTATCTGAAATGGCTCACTTTGGAATAAAGGCAGGTTAATGGGGTGAGATAAGGTGAGGTAAGAGCGGTTGCAGCCGTTTTGTAATAATCTTGGCTATGGTTTAAAATAGTTTATGGGATGTCCAACATTGTGGCAATTCCCTCTCCTGGAGGGGGATTAGGTATAACCACTTCATCCAATCGAGATTAGACCGTGCCATGAAAAACTGCTCATGGTCTGAGAAGTACATAGCGGGAAGATGTGAATATCTCAGGTTTGAGGGATTGGATCATCACCCCCTAATAACCTTTTTCAATGATTCAGTTCGGAAAAAGAAAGTGCTCTTTAGGTTTAATTGTAAATTGAGGAACAAGCTAGAGATCAGAAGCCTCGTGGCTAGCCCCTAATCCTAATTCTGTGCTCTTTTAGATCTGTAGGGTAAGAAGGAAGATCATTGAGTGGACCAAAGCTCAAAATGCGTAGAATATAGCCCAACTAAGGATTAATCAAGTTGCCCTAAAAAATGCCATCTCCGCTGCAGTACCAGGTTCAACTCTTATTGCTTCCCTTTCTTCGTCTCAAGAAAAGTCTTATGAGGAAAAATAACAGCTAATGTGTATATGTAAGCATGAATAGTAAAATAAATATTACATGTGTTAAATAGATAGTGATTATCCATTTGCTTTTGTCTTTATACATTAGCATATTAAAGGATAATGCTTATCCATATGTTTTGTCTTTATACATTAGCATATTAAGGATAATGCTTATCCATATGTTTTGTCTTTATACATTAGCTTACTTCACTATGAAGTAATGTTTTCTAATAAATAGATGACTTCATTCTTTGTAAAATCATAAGTTCAGAAGAAGAAAGAAATGAAGCTCTTATGTTCATCTTCATCTCTCTCTCTCTCTCTCTCTCTCTGAAGTTCAAAAATCTTAAACTCTTCTTTGCTTTCACATAAAGTATGAGTTTATAACACGTTATCAGCACAAACGTCTCTTGATCTATATCTGGAAGATAGATATATACCTGTGAGGTAAGATTCATTTATGTTTAATTTATTTTGAATATAATGATTTACGGAAAGATAAGCTCTGCCTTCTCCGTTTATATGTAATGCTGGGTTGGTATGCTATGTCTCCTTCGAGCTGATCGTTATGGTAGGTGCTGCTTTCACGATTAAATAATTATATTATTTATTTATTATGTCGGGATGGTAGGCTTTGTCTCCTCTGAGCTGCTTGTTATGACAGGCTCTGCCTTCACAATAAAAAAATGATCACATGGCAGACTATGTCCCCTCAGATCATATTTATTTATTTATTTATTATGTGGAAGATTAAAATTTCCATCTTTGTTCATTTATTTATCAGGCAATCAGCAATTGTATGGTAGGCTCTACCTCCTTATATTGCTTTTAATTATTGTCTTTTATTATGCTGTTATCATGCTCTATTTCTTACAAGTATTGTGACCCAGAAGATGTCACAATTTGAGATTCGGGATGGAGATACTTGTCTAGCAGACAATGCTACGACACATATAATATTTAAAGATAAAAAGTATTTTTTCTGTCTCAAAATAAAAGTCTCTGCTGGAAGCGTGAGTACCAGTTATAGCAAAGATTATACTAGGTTCCGAAAGAGCAAGATGCATTATACTCCTCCGAGTCTCAATGGAAGTTTTTAACTTTTTGAGATATCTGCAGAAATGGATATCATATTGAGAATATTAATAAAAATGGCTCTTAATATCTTTGCATTACAACGGAGAGTAAACATCAGTTGGAAGAGTTACCAATGATGTCCTCCAGATTATACTACACAAAGATAACCATGGCTGAATCACATGTTGCAGTAAACCAGAAGTTGACCAGCACTTTCAGACTGTGGCACGAAAGGTTAGGCCACTCTGGTTCAGTCATGATGAGAAGAATTGTGTAAAATTTGAGTGGCCACCCATTAAAAAGCCAAAAGATTTTTCACTCGGGGGAGTTTTCATGTAAGGCATGTTCTCAAGAAAAACTCATATGTAGGCCCACGCCAGCCAAAGTTGGGAATAAATCCCCTGTATTTCTAGAGAGAATACATGGTGATATATGTGGACCGATTAACCCACCGTGCGGGCCATTTAGATATTTCATGGTATTTGATTGACACATCTAATAGATGGTCACATGTGTGTCTTTTGACCACAAGGAATATGGCTTTCGCAAGATTCATTGCCCAAATGATCAGGTTGAGAGCACATTCCCTGATTATGCCATAAAGTAAGTTAGGCTTGATAACGCATGTGAATTTACTTCAGCGGTTTTTAATAACTATTGTATGTCCTTGGGAATCGATGTTGAGCATCCGGTTCCGCATGTTCATACATAAAATGGCATGATTGAGTCATTGATTAAGCGGTTGCAATTGATTGCAAGACCGTTAATCTTGAGAACAAAGCTTCCAATCATTGTGTGGGGACATGCTATATTGCATGTTGGGGCATTGGTCCAGGTAAGACCAGGTGCGTATAATGAATCTTCCCCCATACAGTTAGCATTTGGCCAGAAATCAGATGTATCCAAACTCGTGTGTTTGGGTGTGCGGTCTATGCCCTATAGCGCCACCTCAGAGAAAAAAATGGGACCACAAAGAAGGTTGGGAATATATATCGGGTATTTGTCACCAAGTATAATTAGATATCTTGAACCGGCAACTGGTCATATGTTCACGGCACGTTTTGCCGATTGCCACTTTGATGAAAGTGAATTCTCTGCGTTAGGGGGAGGACTGAGAGAATCACCAAATGATAACACATGGTATACTAAAACTTTGGCTTATCTTGATCCTCTTACAAACAAATGCGAGGTGGAAGTTCAGAAAATTATACATATGCAAAGTTTGGCAAACCAGTGACCTGATGCGTTCACTGATACAAGAAGGGTGACAAAACCCTATATCTCCGCTGCTAATTCTCCATAAAAAAATGTTCGTGAAGAACATATTGATGTAAATATAGCAAATGAACCAGTTAAGCTAAAGCGCTGGAGGCCAATAGGATCAAAAGATAAAAATCCCCGAAAAAAAAAAACTGGAAGTAAAGGTACTAGAAGAACCAAATAAAGCCAAATGTCGTGAAAACATTTGTGTAAAGGTTCCTGATATATCATGGTTTTTATGGTTTTTAACCATGATATAAGTCCTTTTTATTGAGTCTTTTTGGTCTTTTTAGAGTCCTAGTAGAGTCTTTGCAGGTTGCAGCATGTCTGGAGCATAATTGGAGATATTGAAGTTTTTTGGAGCATTGCAAGATGAAGCCACGAAGTGTGCAACTCGGAAGGAGGATTTGGACTTGGGTGACGCTCGTCACCACCTATGGTGACGCTCGTCACCCGTAGAGGAAGGCTCGTGGCTGGTTTCATAAAAGAAGGGGCATTATTTGCAGTTTTAGCCCAGAAGTTCTAGTATTTGTAAGAACGCCTCAGATCGTGTTTTAGCTTGTATATATTAGGTTTTCAGCCATTGTTGGCTTTTATCTTAGATTTTGAGAATTCAGAGAGCTTTAGAGAGGATTTTATTCAGAGCTTTTGGGGAGACATAACCCCTTTGTCTTTTATTTCATTCTTTCAATGCAATTTTATTCAGCCATGTTTTCTGTTTCCATGATCATGTCTGAGTAATTTGCTAGTTAAGTTAGGGCTTTTCAAAGTTTGATGAAGAGTTTGTAGAATTGCTACATGTTAGGAATATCTTTTGGTTCTTCATCTCTGCTTGCTTTAAAATCGATTTCTTAGACACATCATCTAGAAATCCGAAAATCATAGGTTGTTTAATAGATGTGAGAGCATTATTGATAACCTGATCTAGCATTAGATGAGCAAAATGATTTAGTGCAAAGAGATTTGGCTTAGGAGTTTTGTGAAAAATTGAACTTGATCATTACTGCATGTTTAGGTTTTTAGGGTTTGCAAAGAGATTTAAAACTCTGTGATTTAGACATAGTTAACTTCTGCAATGAGATTTGATTAGTTATATATTTGCGATTCATGTTCAAGACGGTTCTTAATCATTCCTGATTTCATGCATTCTACATTCTCGGATTCAACCTGCGAATTGTCCTGACTTAGCGCTTTTAGTTTTCTGAGTCTTAGATCAAACAAATTTTGCATGCTATCTTTTATTTTGTTATTTCGCATTACATACATTATTTATTTCTTAGCTTAATCTGAATCTGAAATTGCTAGTGTAGTTTACATACTTCTTTGGGATTCGATACCCCTTATACTACGACTGCTTTGCTGTGCACTTACATTAGTTTTTATTTGGGTAAAACCTGAGCCCTATCAAGTTTTTGGCACCGTTGTCGGAGAGTAATAGCTGCCTATCGATTTTTAGTATTAGGATTTTGTCTAAGTTTTAATTTGTTTACTAACTTTCTGCTACTTTTTTTTGTGCTGGTTTCAGGTGTATGCCTAATCGCAGTACCAAAAGCAACAAAGAGAAGGAGCTTTTGACCTTAGGCATTG